CTGAATAATTTGGCTATTCAAGCAAAAATTAGTTTAATATATTTTATTTGTTTTGTTAATTAGGACTACATTAAATTACATAGAAATCTTCTGATTTGAACATTTATTTTTAATTTTGCAATCATGGCTTATAAATGTAACTTTTTGTTAACCTAGTTACTATTTTTTAAATTTCTTTTTAATAATAGTTGACATACAGTGTTAAATTATTTTCTGGTGTACAGCAGAGTAATTCAACATATATACCTTGAAAAATGATCTTTACAGTAAGTCTGGTACCCCCTGACACTGTACATGGTTATACTGATATTAATGACTCTGTTCCCTATGATGTACATTATATCCCCATGATTCATTTTATAACTAGGCATTTGTAGTTCTTAATCCCTTTTTTCTTTTCTGCCCAGCCTCCTACTCTCTCTGTCTCTGACAACCATCAGTTTGTTCTCTGTATCTATGAGTTTGTTTCCTTTTCATTTGTTTTGTTTTTTTAAATTCCACATAAAAGTAAAATCACATAGTATTTGTCTTTTTTGTCCAACTTATTTCACTTAACATAATACTCTCTAGCTCCGTCCTTGCCATAATCACAAGATTGTATTCCTTTTTTAACTAACTAATATTCTCTCAAATATAACTTGTTTTTCCACTTTCAAGATTAAGGACAGATTAAAGAGAAAAACACAGATAATTTAGGTCAACAAAGAACTTGGGCAGGACAATATGTATATATTTTTTTTCCTTGTAAAAGTGGCAATTAGCATAGTGTTTAGCAATAATAACCATCTGTAGAATAAATTTGTGGGGGGAAAAAGAATTTGGAACATAGAGGTTCTTTATGAACACCTTCATAATTGGTTTTGTTGCAGTGGCCAATGGAGGTAGGGCAATGAGGTGATGGAGATCTTGATTTCAATAGCTTATTTGAAATTTGATTCACCTGTCCACTTCACAGCTTAACTGTAGAAAAAGTCTTTGTATCAACTTCACTATTATTTCCTAGAGAAATAATACAGTTATACTATTTAAAAAGTACTCTTTTGCTGAAGGACTTCTTATAATTAAAAGGAGATTTTAAAAGTAGCCCAGAAAACTTATTATCCAAAATTGTGTCATGGTAAATGTACATGCATTTAAATTCCTGTAGCTGAGACCTATGCTGCTTACTGACTCTGCCATAAGGATGCTCTGCTCAGGGTCACAGTCTTGTCTGAACAAGAACTCACAGGAGCAGTAGGTCCCTCAAGAAGAAACGAGATCTCCTGATGAAAAAACTCGCTACAATGTTTTTTTTTCAAATGGGTCTATTCCATCATAGCTGGAGGAATTTTTTAGACAAAACATTATATTAGAAGTCACTTAAGAAAGCCAAAACAGTCTGACCACTGTACTCCTGTCTTAGTGTGGGATTTAGAAGGACTGAGTGACTGTTGGTAGTGTGTGGTCCTCAGATTCTGAATACTTCTACCCCGGGTGACAATTAGGTGACCATGGAAAAATCCAGATCCTGAACAGCCATCTTTCCTCTTAAGAAATATCTTCAGAGCATGAATCTTGAGGAGGAAAAAAGAAAGTTTTTAGATGAAATAATTTGAATGGGTGTAATTGGTGGGCTCTCACTCATGTGAAGAATCTTAAAGTGGAATTGCTATAGGTTTCATTCAATGTGGGGTGTGTGTGTGTGTGTGTGTGTGTGTGTGTGTGTGTGTGTGTAGCACATCTCTAAAAATGACATGCCTTTTCTTTATTTTCTTTGACAATGTCATGGTAAAAAATAGGTTACATAAACGCAGTACATTTAAATCTACCTGTGAAAACTGGATAAAGCAATCACAGCTATCTTTATTTTAGAAAAATGGATTTCTGTGTAACAGTAGTAGAAGTCAGGTCAAGGTATAATGTATTATATACTTTTAAAATGTTTTAAAATGTATTTTGAGAAAATAAGTTAGCCACAATAATTGTACCTGCTACTTAAAAAACAACAACAACAACAAAAAAAACACGAAACCCCTCACAACTTTCTACTGCCTATCCTTTTATGTAGCAGATAACATTTCAAATCTATAGCTTTTATTTTGAAATAAAGCTTTGGGATTATCTAATTGAGTGAAAGAGCATTCAAGTCCTTCTAAGAGCTAGGCACTTATAGACAAATGTAGATTTGATTTGTAAAAAAGTCTTTTTTAATTAAAAAAAAAGTAATAGGAGCAATAAATGAGCTCTTCTAAAGTGATGTCAGCACAGCACCCTTGGCCTAGACATAGGCTGTAGGTTATAGGACGAGAGAAAAACACCTGCTTCCATCTACTAGAGGTCAAATCCAGAGAATCACAGCAGCCTTGTGGACGTTCCAGATATATAGCTACATGGCCCCCAAACTGAAAGCTTTATCAATTGAACTACACTTGAGTGTAAAATGTCACCCATAAGGTAAATGTGCTGTTGGAGATGCTCTGGAATCACTTTTTTTCTGTTGTCAGTATTTTGCACAAACAACATTCCATGTGGCCATATCAACAGATCTGTGTAGATGGCTTTGCAATGTTTAGACTTCCAGATTGGTGTTGTGATCTAAACTGCAGAAAAAAGTTTGGCGTAATTAGAAAAATCAAGGACTTTGAACTTCAGTGTAGAACATCTTGGTCTGACATAGAAAAAGTATGTATCATATACAGCAGGTCTTCAAATAACATCGCTTTGTTCAATGTCATTTCATTATAACACTGATGGGGACAAATATTGAATCCTGGCCAGCATCATTGTCTGTATGTTATCTGCCATTGTTCCATGTCTGTGTGGGTTTTCTCTGGGGATTCTAGTTTCCCCCTGCATCCCAAAGATATGCACATGAACTGAACTGGTGTGTCTAATTGTCCTAGGCTGCCCTTGACCCTGAACTACAATAAGGGGTTGGAAGGGAATACTCTTATTTGTTTTCATTAATCTTTCTTAAATGTCTGTATAGCTCACATTTCTTTCCATGCTTAGAATTAGAAGGATTTGGTTCTTTATTTAGAAGTTTGTGATGTTTTTGTGATGAGAAAATATGTCATAGGAACTTACCCTGTGTTTATAGCCGTTGACCTAGCAGTGTTTCCCAAACTTTTGACATATGTGTACCCCTTTTATAATTTTTGTATCGCTGAGTACCCCTAGTACTCATGAGAACGTAGAATTAGGCGCAGCTAAGCACGGTGCAGTGGATATCCCCACCGAACTCCGGTGCAACGCATACCCCCACCAAACTTCTCGTACCCCTGGGGGTACGCGTACCACATTTTGGGAATCACTGGCCTATGGCAACATTGGTTCCCTTATAGTCCCTTTCACTTAAATTCTCATTGTCCAAGAACCTATTTACAATGTTAAGTGAGGACTTACTGTACATATATTTAGTGTTTTTATATAGAGGCATCAACTATTTGGTATTTCCAAGCCCAGGAATTCTATACAGATGGCACTCCCTGAAATTGTGAAACCTGGTGATCTGGTGTAGGATAGGAATTATAATTCTTTTGGGGGTTATGGACTCATGCTTGATGAAAGCTACAGATCTTTTCCCTAGAAAAATATTTTTATTCTCCCACTCCTAGCCCTATGTGTGTAAGGATTGTGAATATGTGGACCTTAAGCTAAGACCTCATTTGACGGAATTGGTCTTTGCTCACATGTTTGTCTGACACCATGCTCAGCCTCTTCCCCCACACCATATTCCTTCTGTTTCCACAACTAAGCCATTGCCGAGTTCGTGCTGGCCTACTTTGACAGCCTCATCTTTTGCTCCTTCTCCCGTGCATCCTGAGTGGAAGTCACACTGCATTACTCACAACAGTGTCACGCTGATCTGTGAACATGCTGTTCCTGCTGCTCCCTGAACATCCCTCATCACCTGCCTCACCACTGCAAGTTTCAGCTCAAAGGTTCCCCTTTTAAAGAAGACTTTCCAGCCCTCTTTCCTGCTATCTCCATCCTCTTAGATCCCCTCCTTTACACTATCATTGTACTCTCTGCATTTCTCTGCCATAATTCCATTTACCAAGCTGCACTGTAATGGATGTTAACTTGTCTACTTTTTCTATTATTTCAAGGGCAGATGTGTGTGTGTGTGTGTGTGTGTGTGTGTGTGTGTGTGAAAGAGAGAGAGAGAGAGAGAGAGAGAGAGAGAGAGAGAGAGAGAGAGAGAGATTTGGTTGAAGTATTGCTAGTGATTCAAAAAGGTAATTTTTTCTTCCAGGCATCAGATATAGCCTCTTGTATCACAGTGTGAAGATATATTTTTCTCCTAAAGAAATCAAACCCATGCAATATTAATAGAGCCATATGCTAGCCCTCTCTCAGTACCATGGTTCCCACTGATAACACTGAAAAATATGTTCTTGTTTCAAAGGCATAACATGATCGCATTTCTCTGAACATGAATTCATGTTTTACTAGGCATTTGTTTCTTAGTAATACAGTTCTATTTTCTTGATGACTTAAGAGGGGAACATCTTATAAATTAATTTTTTAAATTACAAGTTTCAAAGTAACTTAAAAGCGGTACCAGAATTTAAATATAATATGAATTCCTATTATCTTTTATATATATTGATATTATTTTACCAAGTTCATAATAAACAGAAACCAGCATTTTTGAGATGAATAAAGACTGTTCAACAAGCAAGTATGTAGTTGCGGGCACATCCCCAGTGGGGGGTGTGCAAGAGGCAGCTGGTCGATGTTTCTCTCTCATCAACATTTCTAACTATCCCTCTCAGTCCCTCTCTGTGTAAAATTAATAAAATATATTAAAAAAACAACAAAAAAAACCCCAAAATAAAACAAAACAAAACAAAAAAAAAAACAAGCAAGTATGTCTCTACAAAAGAGAATGTAGTAGGAGGGCCGGGGTCGACGGAATTCTTGTTTTTCCCTTTATTGTACAAGACCATATTTTATCACATGCTGAAAATATTATTGCTACTTAAATGTCTGTTTCTCTCCCCGCCGGTCCCCAGGCCAAATTTACAGATGACTGCAAGTTCAGGGAGCGATTTCAAGAAAACAGCTATAACACCTATGCCTCAGCAATACACAGAACTGAGAACACGGGACGCGAGTGGTACGTGGCCCTGAACAAGAGAGGGAAAGCGAAACGAGGCTGCAGCCCCAGGGTGAAACCCCAGCACATCTCTACCCACTTCCTGCCGAGATTCAAGCAGTCTGAGCAGCCAGAACTCTCTTTCACAGTCACGGTTCCTGAGAAGAAGAAGCCACCTAATCCCGTCAAGCCAAAGGTCCCGGCCCTTTCTGCACCCCGGAAAAGTCCCAACACCGTGAAATACAGACTCAAGTTTCGTTTTGGATAATGTTCACATTGGCCTTGTGAGAAGCCACAGGCCCCCCTCAGGAGTCTCCACAGGTGTCTTTACGGCTCTGGAGAAACACTCGGACACAGCTTCAGCTCCACTCCACCGCAGTGAAGTCAGGGCATTTGTTTCAGTGGGACTGAGACAAAAATGTTTGCTGGTAGGAACTGAACTGGCATTATGGATACAGGGAGCACACTGCCTCAGTTCAGTAAGACATGAAGCTTTTTGCTTTATGTGTAGTGCATACTAGGACTCTGTTTTCAAGAAGTTAAACAGTATGGACTATGTATTTTTCTGACTTTTACAGATCAACCCAAAAGAACATACATGACATGTGTTTTTGTTTTGTTTTGTTTCCAAAGAATATTTTGATGCAGATAAAATATTTTATTAACTTTTGTTTTTTGTGTTTTTTTAAAAAGTACCTCTGCATTGAGCATATTTTCTTACTTTTATTGTTTTAATGAATATGACACAAACAACCATTTTTAATGAATGATAAGTGTGTTTATAGCCCATATGTAACATGTGAATTTCTTTTTTATTTTCCTTATTCATTGCACTTTTTATTTTTATTATATATTTTGACCATACCTCAGATAATGTAAGTTTAGTTCTACATCTTAAAATTTTAAAAATTCTCTTCAGTGCACCAAAGACTCAGCTTGAATTTGTGTGTGGTGTGTGGGTGTGTGTGTGGACTCGTGCATGTGTGCTTACACAAATTCATGACACGTGGAAGTGTTCCCCTTTTGTGGCTGGGCTATAATGAGTTAGAAATAAGGACATTTTGATGGAATGAGTAGTTGGAGATAAGGAGGAGGATTAGAGGTACAAGTCTACTAAGTTTGCAGTATTTATTGAGATCTAATTCTGCCCTGCCTTTATTTCTCCTTTCATCCACTCCCTGCCCTTATTCTTGAGCAGCTGGAGGAAAACATTTTATTCTGTCCATCAAGCAGACACTGTGAAACTAAAACACCTCTTCTATGGTCCTCTGCCATCCCCACTGTATAGATCCACGGGGAGCAACCCACTTACCGGAAGCACAGGGAGAGCTGAAAGAGATGGATCTTGTAACAGTTACCGAGGTCCAGTCCCATTGTCAAAAACACTCTGATTACTCAGTACAACACCCTTTGAGTTTCCTATCCTAATGGAGACCATTCCAGTGAATAGATTTTCTCTTTTATAAGAAAAATTTCTGATGTATATATTTTTTAAAAAGACAGCTGTGTGATATGGGGAACTTCATTTGGGAATTTGATAAATTGAAAAATGGCATTTGATTGTCAAGCCAAATATTAAATGTTGGGCATAAATCAGAAAATTTGGCTTAAGGGTGTTTACATTATTTATTTTCTTAGGTAATCATTTTATGGAGTTCTATGATATACAAGTGTTTATCTTCCAAAATATTGCAATACAAAGGTATAGCTAATGTTTAGAAGAATGTTTTTTATAGAAGGAGCAAGAGTTCATAAGAGGTTTGTGGTTTCTATGAAAGCATGCTTCTTTTCTTTTAAAGAATACTGATAATCTTTCTAAAAAACAAAGTATACTTCATTTTGGGTGGAAATTTGTCAAAATTGAATTTACTACAATTTAAGCAGCTTGCTTTGTTTTAATAAAAACAAACTATTCCCACATGTGTATAATATAAATAATTATATACAAAATCCATCCATCAATTAAAACATCATGCATATACTCTAATATAGTGTTTTATTATAAAGCCAATAATTAATTTAACATTCTCTCCATTTAACTCATGATTTAAAAAATATATAAAATGAGTTACCAAACTTTATATTAAAATCTCCTGGGTTAAATGAAACAATGGAAATTTTTAAACAAAGATATGTCCATCTCTTATCCAACTTCCATATCACTTTATATCACAGTATAAAGCTAAAAATAATACTCTAGTTTATTTCAATGTATTGTCAAGAATTGTGCACTGTATATCAAGTTCTTAATACACATAAAAATTAACATTGTAGAGCAGGAGAACAGTAGACAAGATGATATTAATGATGATAAATAACCAAGTAAATTAATGCAAGGCATATATTGCATTAGGCTAATGTTGCTGATAGTTTATGTTAACTAAAAAATAATAGCTTACCTTGTACCCCTAGTTTGATTTGATTAGTAAATGAAGGTTAAAGTAAAATAGCCACCTCACATATATTATGCAAGTCAGGACTCATTAATTTCCAAATTTAGCGCCAAGCTAAAAATAAAAAAACCTTTAAATTATACTTACCTTTAATTTACTGGCCATACACAATTACATTTAATTAAAGCTCACTGAAGCAAAAAATACCTAAATTAATTAATGAATGAACTCATTATGTACAGAAAACATGTAGAAATATAATTCCTTACTAATACCTAGAACTTTCTAAGGGATCCTTACTTATGTGGTTTTTGATATGTTTTTAAAGTAACTTGACCCATCTAACATCAAACAGAGATATTCATCTAAAAATGTCAATGAATTTTACATTAAAATTTAGGTACCTACTTTGCCTAAAAGATAAATGAGAGACACTTTCACACTTGATGTTTCAATTTAATTATATTATATTTAAGTTATGATATTTTTATTTGGAACACCAGTAGAGGCAAGTAAGATTTCTAATAAGATATATAACACTGTGGTTTTTATATTACAAAATATACAATCACTTCCTGCTACTTATTTGAGAGTGTGGATATGTAAAACTTAACTTTGTTCTTTTAGCTGAGTTTTAGAGGCCTAGCAGTTCAAAATCATGTGACAATAGAGGATCCTAACAAAAGTTATTTCCAGATTTAATAATTATATCATTTTAGATGCATTTATTTCATATGATTGAAAATAAAACCATAAATCTGATTGATACATTTCTATAAAACTGATTTTAAAATAAAAATCTGAACAATTTTCTTACTTTAACATTTTTTTTAGTCTTCCAAAGGAGACAGTAACTAAGCTATGACTTCCCACATTTTCAATAACAAAATGAAAATATTGAATTAAGCCAAAACTTTAATTCTGGCCCCATGTTTTCATCTGTAGAAAGCTCCACAGTAAATTTGAAAAATAAAAGCAATATTATAGAAATGGCTGTAATGGGAAGTAAACAAAAATAACTTGTCAAAGGAATTCTCCTTTAGATTTACTTTATTGCTACATTTAAATTTTAATAATGTAAAGTCAATTTTAAGCCAATTGATCTTTTAAAATCTTTTGAAAGAAATTTTTAGATAAATGAAAATGTCCCATGTTTTCTTTTTTAGAAGTCAATCCAATTGCAATGACCAGTGTTTGAAATAAGATTATCAGATGATTAGGTGTCAAAGAAGTTACCTCCTACATCTTATTCTCTGGGAGGAAAGGGAGAAGAACCCAGCCTGAGCTGAGTCAGTGGGGGCATTTTTACATCTAAGAATCATATACAACACTCAGACATACCATCAGACAATTAAGCTACAAATCATCCATCAGTATTTCAGCAAATTTTTGTAATAAAATATTAGATATCAAGAGTCCTTACTTTTTATTTTATTGTGTTGTGTCCTGACTCTGCCATATAATTATCACAAGTTACTTTTTAGGTCTTGTTTTGTCCTTCACCATATGACCTCCAATGTCAATTCCAGCTTTGTCATCAATGACAGCATGAGTTATGAGTCTCCAAATGTTGACGTATCCAAAAAAAAAGACATTATTTGTCTTCAGGTGAAACTGGATAACCACATGAAAAAAATTGTCAATGAAGCAATAAATATATTTGTAAAGCCTTGTCTTAGTTTGAAAAAATTAGGTAAGTTTGAGATTATATCAAAAGATTTAAAAACTGAGGCCCAAATCCAGGCTTAGCATTTTATGAGGGACTTAATATAGTTGAATTAATCTGGAGGGGAATGGTCAGAGTAATATTATTATTGATAACAGATCTAGAATTTTAGTTAAACATGAAATTTTTGACCATCTCTGTTTTGACTGAGATCCTATTCTCTCCACAAATCCCATAGCAATTCATGAAGAAATATCAGTAATCTCATCTTGACACACTCCAAATAATGATAGCTATAACATAACTTTCCACCACCATTCCCTTACCTTTCCAATAATTCAGTATTTTTGGAGTTCTTGCTCTGCACAAGGCACTCAGCTAGTGAAACATTCCTTTATTCGGAGTAACATGTTCACCCCATTCTTTGTGCATGTTAATATCAATGCACTCTCAGATTTTGAAATTCCAGGGGAAATATAGCTATCCTCATCGCACATTGCCCAAACCAGGCTCAAGCTAATAAAAGGAACATATGAGTCCTAACTGGTACGGTTCAGTGGATAGAGCATCGGCCTGCAATTGAAAGGTCTCAGGTTCAATTCTGGTCAAGGGCATGTACCTTGGTTGCGGGCACATATCCAGAAGAGCATATCAGCTCTTCGATGATAGTAATTTTGAATGTATTTCTCTGACTTAAACACTTAGTGGAGGTATTGGATATGCTCCTAATTCACAGAACTGGGTATGTAATTATATTTATAGGTCCCTAGGATATTTTAGGTGCTCCAAAATGCTTATAGGATGGCTATTGATGCTGAATAAAATTCATTTGAAGATGGTAATTAAGATGAAGAGAATTTCATGTAAGGTATGAAGTGGCTCCTACAACAAGAATAAGAACACCAGGTAACTTTGCCACCGTATTTGGACTTCTCAAATCCTGAGTCCAAACTAAAAATTTCAGGCACTCATATTTTTGCAAGCTGCATTTACGTATCAATAAATTAGTCCTCTTATGAAACTTCAATTTCATTTTCAATCTTAAAAATAGGTGACTATGCAAATCCTGATGATTTTGTTATTTGTAAGCCAAACGAGCAGTCGCGTGGGATGTCGGTAGATCAGAATGGGAAAGTGAAGACATTTCTTTTTGGTGATATTTTTCTAGATGTGTTCTTTCCTTTTCTTCAGATAAACTCTCCCAGGGAA